ATCAACAACCATCCTATCAACTGCAGTATGCATGCTCGTGCATACATCTTAACCTCATCCTCAGAGGCGTCTGCGCTCAACTCCCGAAAATTGGCATCTAACCAATTTAACGGTATCCTACCTCCGATAAAATTTTCCGGGACACGTCCTAGACTATCCCGACACAAAATAGTCCAAGAACCGGAAGCTATCCCCGATATCATATCTCCATCCACCGGAAGCCTCAGGTGTATAGAAACATCCTCAAGCGTGATCGTGCACTCTCCGCACGGAAGATGAAATGTGTGGGTCTCCGGCCTCCACCGCTCTACTAAGGCAGAAATCAGGTCTGTCTCTATCTTATAGTGACCCTGATATCTACCTATGTAACCGAATCCAACCTCTACTAAATACGGCAAGACACGGCTGGGTATCACTAACTTAAGATTCCTAATAAAATGATCTAATACACGGTCCTTCTCCTAAAAATAAATAATTACAAAAATTAATTCTTAATCTAATAATCATGCATTACATGAATCAACTAATTATTACTAATAATTTAAATTAAATTAAAACGTTAAAATGTTATCGTATCAGCAAAGTGTCGAGATATTTAATTCTTAATCTAATAATCATGCATTAAATAAATCAACTAAATATTACTAATAATTTAAATTAAATTAAAACGTTAAAATGTTATCGTATCAGCAAAGTGTAGAGATATATGATTTCCATCCGAGCGAAGTAGACTACATTCCATTATATATTTGCAAAAGAATTATATTAGTAAAATATTAAATAAAGTAAAAACATAATAGTAAAAATTTTATAAAATATACCTTAAAATGAGAGTATTTGAAAGAAATTTAGAGAATTTGAGAGAATTTGGTGTGATAAAAGTGATTGAGGATGGGGGTATTTATAGGGAGGATGGGGACGTGAAGGGTTGGTAATTAGGGGTATAGCGCGCCCCCTGCACCGCGCTATACCCCACGTGTCATATATCCAGGTATAGCGCGAGACAGGGCGCGCGCTATACCCACGTGGCGCCAAATCAACATATAGCGCGGTGCAGGGGGCGCGCTTTTCTGTTAAGGGTGTTAGATCGGGAAATATAGTCTGACCAGTGTTAGATCGGTAATAATACCGATCACCGGTGATATACCGGGAAAATAGCCGAGTATTTTATCAGTCGAATAAAATAATTGAATTAATTGATTATAAAAATATAAATTTGTTATCAAATTTTATTTAAAATAATTAAATATATTTATTTAAATTTAAATTTATTTTTATTATACATAATAATATTATAATATTTAATAGTTATAATTTAAACGATTATCTCTAATTATATATGATATATATTTATATTCATATTTTCTCACATGTATAACTTAGATTTATGATTTTTTAATTAATAATAATAGTTAGTTTACTTTAAAAGAAGAAACTGTCTTAAATTAAAATAAGTGACCAAAGCTATATCCCAAAGCTAGGATATACCAATCACAAAACTAAATAAATGACATCTAGATTTGGATAATCAACATCAAATCCGAGAAAAAAAATATGTTATGTAAGAGCAATATCATCTATAATATTCATACAAAAAGAGAAAAACTAATTTAAAAAATAACATTACTGGGATTATTGAAGAAGAAGAGGAGGAAAAAGAAAAAAACAACGAATGACGGCCAATCCAAGGCTAATGTCATCGTCAGCATTGAAGAAATAAAAAAAATAGATGAAGAGTGGTAAAAGAAAAAAAATGAGCGACTAGAATTTTTATAATATTATTTAATAAATTAAATATTATCCAAAATTATATAATATATTCATAATGGTGTTTTTAAAAGTAATATTTTGAAGACAAATTATTGATGAGATTATAAGAGACTCGAGAAATTGATTAGAATAACGAATTTTTAAAGAATTATAGTCAAACAACCTAACTGAATAAAATACAAAGTGGGTAAATTAAAGTAAAAATAAAGTAACTTTCGTTGTTAAAAAAAGAAACTAGAGTTAAATAAATATTCTATAATGATATAAGAGCATAATTCAACTTTGGTAAAAATAAACTTAAAACGAATTGTGTTGTCAAAAGAGGGAAATTAAAGCTACATATGTAAAATTTGTTGAGTATCGTGTGATTCAAATATAATCAAAATAAATTTAAAAAATTCAAAAAAATAAAATTATTAAGAACCAAATCACAAATCAATTAAATTATTTAACTAAAGACTAAAATAATATCATTTTAGTTTTTAATCAGTTATTTATAATTTAAATAATTTATAGTTTTATTAATTCTTAAATTTAAAACACTAATTATATAAATATATTTATAGTTTCATTCATTCATTATTTTTTTTATTATCTTATATTTTTTTGCTTATTTTTTTAACTCTTAATAACTTCGTTTTATGACATGATTTTATATACATTCATGATACGTTTTTTTTTTTGACATATTTTCGATCATTTGGTCGTTATTTTAGTTTATCTTTTTTCTCAAGGTTAGATTTGACATCGCCACAACTGATCAGATAACGTTTTTTTATGATGCTAATATTCTGTTCTTTGAACCCTCTGATTAGATTTAAATATATGATTTGTGTTAGTATATAATTTTTTATTCTGATTTACGATTTGTCTGTGGTATTTTAATAATTTTATATTTTTTGTGATACGTTTACCGATGTGGTCATATATGTTTATATCTATTTTTTATTTGAGTTTATTTGGTTAAGTTTTTCAACCTTTTTTCTCGAATATAATAATTATGTGATCTTAACTGACTAATTTATTGGGTTAATAATTATAAAAAGGGTTAATGCCCATATAAGTGCCCAAAATTTACCTTTTGTGTCAAATAAACGCTTATATTTTTTTGGGACATCTAGGTGTTTAATATTAATAACGTTAGCATTATATGTGCTCGGAACGTAACGACCGTTAAATAAAAATCATTATTCATTTATTTACTGAAATGTGTCACTGATTATTTTTTTATTTTCTATAAATTTCAAATATTTTAAAATAAAAATAAATAAAACATTAATAATAATATTTTAATCACACTAATTTAACCTAAAAGTAAAAATCAAATTTTTATCACGATCCATCCTCCCCCGTTCTCTTCCTCACTCACCCCGATCAAACTCTCCTCCTTCACCAATCTCTTATGAAACTCTTCTCCTCCCATTTTACTCTCATCCTCGTCTGTTTTTCCTGAATCGCTTCTCCTATCTGTTTTTCCTTAATAAAAAAAACCACTTTCCAAATTGAACTATAAAACTAGAAACAAGTAAAATTCAAGTGAGATTGAAATTACAAGGAAAAAAGACAATAAATATTGGCAATCCCAAACCCTGTAAACCGAACCCAGTATCCAATTGACATATAAGCTAAAACCAAAGTCTGAAAACCTTTAAAAATAAAAAACCCACATTCCGAATTGAACTATAAAGCAAGAAAAAAAAACATAAAAGAAACTACAACCTGAGAACCCAAAAAGGTAGTCCTTTGACGAAGAAGCATGTTTGTGGTGTCAAGCTCTTCAAATCTAGGTAGCCAAGATGGAGCTGAAGTGAAATGGGAGGAAATGAAGATAATGATAGTAAAATGGGAGGAGAAGAGAATGAGAGTGCAACGGGAGTAGAAGAGCTTTAGCAGGGTGGGGGAGGAAGACACGGGGGAGGATGAATCATGGTAAAATTTTTATTTTTATTTTTACTTTCAGCTTAAATTAGTAAGATTAAAATATTATTATTAATGTTTTATTTATTTTAATTTTAATATATTTGAAATTTATAGAAAATGAAAAAAAAAATAGGGACACATATCAACAAATAAATGGATAACGATTTTTATTTAATGACCGTTATGTTTTTAGCACTTAAAATATTAACGTTAAGCATCCGAACATAAAAAATAATGTAGGCACTTATTAACACAAATGATAAACTTTGGGCACTTGTTTAGACATTAAATCTTATAAAAAATATCATTTTTATGTGTTTAATTTATAATCATAGTTATAAATTTTCATTATAATTTAAATACTTTTATATTTTTAACAAAATTAAATTCTATCTCAAGAATAAAAAATTACTAATTTACCACCTTCATAAAATTTGACGAGTCATTAAAAAAATGCCGCGTTTTAGGATTCAATGGCTGTCGCACGTGGAGGTTCTAGAAAAATTAAAAGTCCTACTCTTTCATGTGTCAAACAACCGTTAGATTAGCGAGGGGTAATCGGACAGTTTAAGATAGAATTTTGGCATTAATCGGTTCTATAGAAAAAAAAGTTTAACATAAAAATATGTGTTTAAATTCTATATATTTTTATTTAAATATTTATTTTTAATTAATTTAGGTATCTAATGTTTTTAATATTATTATTTAGGTGATTATACAGTAATGAATGTTAAAAAAATTCGTTAAAAATTATAGTATATAATTTATTGATCGATTAATTTAAAATATATATCATAAAATTTATTATAGAGATAATTTTTTATATTATATTCACATGTCTAATCTTATTAAAAATCTAATTCATCACTATAATAGTTATAATGATATTAATTATCGAAATTAATTTAAAAGTGAAATTGAGTTTGAGTTGAAGATTTACCGTGTGCCAAAAAAACAAGAGTTATAATTAGGCAAGTGAAAGGGTCCAGTACAATATAAAAACCAACATAAATCCAAACGTAAGTTTGAACCGCCACTATGTTACTTTGACTTTGAGATTTTAACAGCGAATTGTTTGCTTTTATTAAAAGTCTAGTCAACGTTGTTGATCGGTTTTGTTCAAATCTTACCTATTATTCTCTATCTGCGCTGGCTCCCACTACCCACCGCACCCATTTCTTTATTCAACCATTGACATTTTCAAATCAATCTCAGCCCTCAGATTTACACATTTTTACCCGGTCACCTGGTCATCCTTAAGCCGGCCCTAGCCCTTATATCAACCTCGCCTCCCCTTGTTCGCCATCTTCCCTTCACCTTTCAACTCTTCTCTTTCTCCCAGGCTTCAACGACTTGTTGACCTCTCCACTGCTTCACGTTTCTTCGCTTTTCGTATTTCTTCGGTGAAAATGGCGGTGGATCTGATGAGTTTCCATAATATGGATTATCATACGGCCATACAAGAGGCTGCATCGCAAGGCATGAAGAGCATGGAGCACCTCATCACCCTCCTTTCTCAACAGTCGAACCTCACCGACTGCGGCGACGTTGCCGACCTCGCCGTCTCTAAGTTCAAAAAGGTCATCTCACTAATAAACAGAACCGGTCACGCCCGGTTCAGACGTGGACCGATACAGTCCTCCTCGTTTTCCTCCCCGTCCTCATCCTCTGCTTCTCTAACTGATACTAATTCCCACAAGGTTCTGTCTCAAACTCCGGCGGCCGTAAAACCGGCGCCGGTCGAAGCTCCAAGTGTGACTCCTGCTAGTTTCGTTCCGTCGCATCCACAGAGTTTGACTCTCGACTTTACAAAACCTAATTTCTTTAGCTCCAACTCTGAAAGTGCAGAGTTGGAGTTGGAGTTTACAAAGGAAAGCTTCAGCGTGTCCTCCAACTCTTTGTTTATGTCTTCTTCCATTACCGGGGACGGCAGCGTTTCAAAAGGTAAGCAAGGTTCATCTCTATTCTTGACCCCGGCGCCGGCCGTTTCTGCTGGAAAACCACCTCTATCATCTGTACCGTTCAAGAAGAGGTGTCGCGAACACGAGCACTCCGAGAACCTCTCCGACAGGGGAAAGTGCCACTGCTGCTCAAAGAGGAGGTAATAAGACGAATGCCTTTTTTTCTTTTAAAAAAGAAGAAGATTAGAGTTGTATGAATTGGCCGAGTCAAGATTAAGTTTGTATTTGGTTTGATATTTCAGGAAGCACAGGGTGAAAAATGTAATTAGAGTTCCAGCGATCAGTTCCAAGATCGCCGATATTCCAGCAGACGAGTATTCTTGGAGGAAGTACGGGCAAAAGCCGATAAAGGGGTCACCATACCCACGGTAACTACTGTTTTCAGTCTTTTTTACCACTAAATAATAGATTGTCGTATGAGTTGTGATTTGATTTTTGGGTTGTACAGGGGATATTACAAGTGCAGTACAGTGAGAGGGTGCCCCGCGAGGAAACACGTGGAGCGAGCCACGGATGATCCGTCGATGTTGATTGTAACTTACGAAGGGGAGCACCGCCACTCTGAATCCACGGCGCAGGAGAACATGGCTCCTGGTGCGGGACTGGTATTCAAGTCAACTTGATAACCAAATATAATAATTTTCTAGAAAAGAAGGAAGACGTAGACTTTTTGGAGTAGCTGAGATGAGGGGTGGATGTAAATTTACTTGGAATCCGTCCTTGAAAGTAAAGTTAAAATTAAATGATTTGTTTATTAATTATGGTTGTTGGGTGATGATAGTTATATCATATAAATATATGATTTTGAACGTAGGAGCGGTGGGTTATTAAAGTAGCAATGTATGTCAATTCAGCTGCTCCTTCAAATTGGTGAAGCATTGAAATGGAATTAGTCAACAGCTGTATTTAGAACATATATTAATCTTTCTAGTAATATTGAAATCAGAAATTATTAATTAAATTTTAAATGATCTATAAATGCATATGAATGTGTCGTAATCGTCTTTCGATTAGGTCTTGAAATTGGATTTCGACTTGAAAAATATGGATTGGAGTCATCATTGATCATTTTAAAACGAATTTAAGTGGGTCAGACACCATCTTACTTGATCTGTGTTTTTACCATAAATGTGTGGGATTCGGGAGTCGGTTACGGTCAAGGAAGGATTAACACTCTTGAACCGTCCTTTCGGTACTAATTAATTTGTCGGTTGTCTTAGTTGTAAAAATTCGAAATTTAAATTAAAATTTAACAGATCCGATTCAAATTACTTACAATTATAAATTTGAATACTCTTAAAAGATAAAAACGTTTGACTCGTAGCGGAGTATAAAATTGAATTAGGATAGCAAGTGTGCAAACGTGAGAATAATAAATAAAAATGAAAAATAATAAAACACGTAAAAATAATAAAAATAATAAAAATAAACAAAATGAATAAAATGTTAAAAAACAAAGACACAGATAAAGTAAAAATATTAATGGAGTAAAAAAATAAAAAAAAGTAAAAGAAATTAAAAAGGAATAAAAATGTGTATATATAAAATAGTATTTACTAAAACAAATAAAAATAATAAATATATAATACTAAGTAAAACAAATAAAAAAATAAAGATATATATGATATTAAGAAAAAATAATAAAAATAAAATAAAGTAAAAATATAATATATATATATATATATAAATAAATAAAAATAAAAATAGAATATTAAGAAAAAATATATATAAATGTATAAAATAGAATATTAAGAAAAAATGTATATCCATAGTAAATGGAGAAAAATTAATACATTTATATATATATATATATAATGATATAAAATATATATAATAAAAATAGTATAAAATAAATAAAAAAAGAATATATTAAATAAATAAAAAATATATAATTAAATATATATATATATATATAGGAGATAAAATTAATATAAAAGTAAAATTAAAGGGTAAATTTCAAGGTAAATTAAAGATTAAGATTGATTTAGAGGGAATATTAAATACTTTAAAAAAATGAACATGCCTCGGGAGTAGATCTAGGTTCGAAACTTCGAAACCCCACCCTTTTTTGTCATCGGCGCAACCCACGCTTTGGGTTATTCAAACCAAATCTCAAGAAAAATAACATGCACATGCGAAAATTAAACGAATTAATGTAAAAAAAAGATGTTACCTTTTATTTCATTTTTGAATCGTTTACAATAGCTTTGTCTTTGTATTTTTCGTGTTTTCCTCTATATCTTGTATGTAAATCCCCTTATAAAGGAGGAGGATTACATGTATTTATAGTGAAAAAACTAACAATTTTTAGAATCCTATTAATAATAGAATCCTAATGCAACTAGACTCCTTGCTCGGTTGTTGCACGTTTGTTGGTGTGGTTGTTGCTTTAAAAGATATGGTGGTAGAAGATTCCTCTTAGGAGATGAACTCTTGCTAGTTCTATCTTTTAAGAAAATGGGTGTCTACAACTGCCCCTCTTTGTCCTTTTTCATGGAACGAAAAATAGGACAAAAATAAAAAGACATAAATTTTCGTTCAGTGGAGTTGAAGAATAACTCCTTGTCGAATTGAGTTGTGGATGGCTCATCCGTCGCGAAGTCGAGTCCATCTTGAAATGATTTGAATCAGAATGTGGCTTCTCGTTGTATTCCATTTTGGTCTTCTTCTCGGTTTAAAGACATTAGCTAAAAATTCGACTGGAATGTAATCCATTGACTCCACAATGTGGTTGATATGCTCTCGAGCTGAATGAAACCGAACTCGAAAAGTCTTCATTGACAGATAGCTTTTCTCGACTTAAGCTATGCTGACGGAAAAAAGGCTTCTTGCTACTAAGGCACGGCTAACCCAGATCTTCTTCTCGGCTTGAAAACCTCGATTGCAGCCGAACAATTGTGTGATTGAGGTGTCATCGAGCTGAATGGAATCGAACTTGACAATTTTCGTTGACAGATAGCCCTTCTTGCCTTGAGCTATGCTGTAAATTTGATTTACCTCTTAGTTAAATGTAATCTGACTCGAAGGTCTTTGCTGATAGATAACCCTTCTTGCCTTGAGTTATGCTGCAAATTATGTGTCTTGGAGCTGAGCGTAGTCGAACTCGAAGGTCTTTGTTGACAGATAACCCTTCTTTGAGTTGGCTATCATTCGTCATGAAGTTGAAATCCAATCTAGAGATGGATGTTGCTTATGTGCACGATTCCCTTCGTCGTGAAGTTGAAACCGCGGGTGGCACATTCGTCGTGAAGTTGAGCCTGGTAATTGGATATCCTTCATCGTGAAGTTGAAATCCAAGTATGTAGTATTGTTCCAAGTCCAATATCTTCCGTCGTGAAGTTGAAATTGGCTTAGGAACTGGGAAATTGTTTGTTGACAGCCAGCCGCCCCTTCGTTGTGAAGTTGAGCTTGTGTTGTCTCGAGTTCAATATCATTCGTTGTGAAGTTGAAATTGACTCTGAATGAAACTGAAAAGTTATTTGTTAACAATCAGTCGCCCCTTCGTTATGAATTTGAGCTTGTGTTGTCTTGAGTCCAATATCGCTCGCTGTGAAGTTGAAATTGGCTCTGAAACTGGGAAGCCCCTTCGCCGTGAAGTTGAAACTGCGGGTGGCACCTTCGTCGTGAAGTTGAGCATGGTAATTGGATATCCTTCATCGTGAAGTTGAAATCCAAGTAGGTACTATTGTTCCAAATCCAATATCTTTCGTCATGAAGTTGAAATTGGCTCTGGAACTGGGAAATTGTTTGTTGACAGCCAGCCGCCCATTCATTGTGAAGTTGATCTTGTGTTGTCTCGAGTTCAATATCCTTCGCTGTGAAGTTGAAATTGACTCTGAATGAAACTGAAAAATTATTTGTTAACAATCAGTCGACCCTTCGTTATGAATTTGAGGTTGTGTTGTAACATCCCAAAAGCCGGGTCAGTGACTAAAATGTAAATTTTGGAAACTTTGTGCTCAATTTTGAAATAAGTTAAAAGTTTTGGGATTTAAGTAAAGAATTTTGATGATGGATTAAATAGCATAGATGGATAATTAAAGGGGCAATTTAGTCTTTTCAGCTTAAAGGATATTTTGTGTTTCCTTTAAATAAGAGTTGTACACGTGGGTTTTGGGAGATTTCTGGAAGCCTTCTTCTTACTCTCTTCTTCTTCTCGTAGCTCCAACTTAAAGGTAAGTTTGATTTTTAACTGTTAATTTCTTGAATTTATAAGTTGGTTTTGAATCTTTGGGGGTTATATAAGCTTAAGGAAAGCTTGTATAAACTTAAAACATCAAGAAGAGAGAATTAGAAAGGAATTTCTATTAAAAGATTAGAAATGAACTTTTGATATAGAAAGGTTTTTGAAATTCTAAGGATGAATTTGACTTGTCAATGGTTAAATTAAGAGATTTGGAGTGATAGAATTGGATTTAGAACATATAGAAAATTTGGTATGATTCTTGAATCTCATAAAGAAGATAGGATTTTGAGGTTAAAGATGATTTACATGGATATAAGTTGGTTCAAGTTATAGTAGTTGAGTTTAATGTCATAAGAGGGGCTTAAAATAGAAGAATTAAGGGAAGAGTTGATGATTTACGTGCTAAAATGTCAGTTATGGGCAATGTGCATCGATGCACATTCATTGTGCACCGATGCATCGATGATAAATACCAGAAATTGTTTAAGGTGCATCGATGCACATGCAGTGCATCGATGCATGAATTTAAATAGAAAACATCGAATAGGATTTATGCATCGATGCATAAGGAGTGCATCGATGCATCCCCATTAAATACAAACATCGAATAGGATTTATGCATCGATGCATGGTGTAGTGCATCGATGCATACCTTCATTAAAAGATGAAATTGGCTTTTCTTTGAGACTAAGGAGTGATAGTTTCGAATATATCAATTAGTATACTGATAAGTATCAATGAATTACTATGTAGATATCGAGCCTAAACGAGTTCCGGAATCATTGACAAGTAAGATCGATAAAAAGGGAAGATAAGAGATTGGAATGGACTAGTGAGGCCAGGTGAGTGCATACTAGTGATATGTAGTGTTTAATGGAAATAAGACTTGCGATGAGTCTATTTCCTAGAGTAATATGCATGAAGTCATGTACATGATTATGTGTGGTTATAATTATATGTGATTATCTGTATTACATTGATTGTATGTATGCATGACTAAAGATAAGGATATGCTTAGTATATGCTATATGATGTATGTAAGACTTTAATATGTAATAATGGAAGAACATGAAATAAGTTATATGATAGAGTCATAAGAAATGAAATGAATATGAGAGAATAAGATAATCAAGTATAAGTTATATGATATGGTATAAGTAATTATACGAGAAATGTTAGGAGACTCTAAGAGAATAGTATGAATTCGAGGGCATAAATAAGGATACATAAGTAATATAGGGAAGATTGATAAATTAAAGGAAACTATGGTTTATGTATTATAGTGAAGAACTACAAAGTTTTATTAAAGAGTATTGAGGAAGTCATGAGAAATTGAACTAAATAAATAGATGGTTTATGTGAGTGGAAAAGGAAAATGATATAAAAAAAATGGAAATTATTTATAAGATAGCATGAGACTAATTGAACATGTAATATAAACTTTATAAAGGAGTACTTGGGTAAAATCATTATATGATACAATTATAGAGTATTACTATTCAAATTATATTAAAATATGATAT